TACTGTTTCATCCACTGAAGTAGGCTGAGGTGTACCAGTACTTTCATCTGATGATTCATGAGGTGCAGTAGGTTTAGTACTTTCATCTGATGTGTTATTTGCTGGTAATAGTTTCTTAGTGATCAGTACAGCTTCTTCATCAAGTTCCTGTTCCTTCCATTCTGTAGTCACTACTGCATTGTGCTGTGATAGTTTACGAAATGAATTAACTTGTACAGCTGCATCAATTACACCAGTACTAAGAGAAGTACCTGTATCAAGAGATTGATTGAGGAGTCTCTTCTTTAATGTACTCTTACCAGCACCAGGAGGACCTGTCAATATACACTTAACAACACGTAATAATGCTATACCACTGGATTGATGAATATGAAGGTAACTACTAGCCTTCCTATCATAAGTGGTTATCCCCTGAGTATTACAACCTTTTACTTCAACAAGATAATTGACAATGCTCATGTCAGGAGATCGCTTATTTAATGCAACATGCAATGGCCTCCTATTGTACTTATCTTCAGCCTCAAGATTACATTGTGGATGATTAGTCAAAATTTTAACAATTTCAAAATGACCTTTTTCACATGCAAAATGTAATGGTGCATAGCCATTCCTCCTTTTAGCATTAACATCACAGTGTTTATTAATCACAAAATGACGTACAATGTCTACATTTCCCGATTCACATGCTTTGTGTAGTGGTCTGTCATTGAAATTATCTTCAGCTTCAGTATTGCATTGTGGATGATTAGTTAAAATTTCAACAATTTCAAAACGACCTTTTTCACATGCATAATGTAATGAAGTATAGCCATTAAACTTTTTAGCATTAACATCACAGTGTTTATCAATCACAAGATGACGTACAATGTCTACATTTCCTGATTCACATGCTTTGTGTAGTGGTCTGTCATTAAAATAATTGTCTTCAGCTTCAGTATTACATTGTGGATGATTAGTCAAAATTTTAACAATTTCAAAATGACCTTTTTCACATGCTAAATGTAATGGAGTTAAGCCATCCCTCCCTTTAGCATTAACATCACAGTGCTTATCAATCACAAGATGACGTACAATGTCTACATTCCCTGATTCACATGCTAAATGGAGTGGTCTACTTTGAAGATCACTTTCAGCTTCTATATTGCATTCAGTGGAACTGGTAAGAAATTGAACAGTTTCAAAATTACGATTTAAACATGCCACGTGTAATGGAGTTAAGCCATCCCTCCCTTTAGCATTAATATCACAGTGTTTATCAATCACAAGATGACGTACAATGTCTACATTTCCAGATGCACATGCTAAATGGAGTGGTCTATTTTGATCATTATTTTCAGCTTCTATATTGCATTCAGTAGAACTGGTAAGAAATTGAACAGTTTCAAAATTACGATTTAAGCATGCCAAATGTAATGGAGTTAAGCCATCCTTCCGCTTAGCATTAACATCACAGTGTTTATCAATCACAAGATGACGTACAATGTCTACATTTCCTGATCCACATGCTAAATGGAGTGGTCTATTTTGATCATTATCTTCAGCTTCTATATTGCATTCAGTAGAACTGGTAAGAAATTGAACAGTTTCAATATTATTCTTAAAACATGCCAAATGTAATGGAGTTAAGCCATTTCTCCGTTTAGCATTAACATCACAGTGTTTATCAATCACAAGATGACGTACAATGTCTACATTTCCTGATCCACATGCTAAATGGAGTGGTCTATTTTGATCATTATTTTCAGCTTCTATATTGCATTCAGTAGAACTGGTAAGAAATTGAACAGTTTCAATATTATTCTTAAAACATGCTAAATGTAATGGAGTTAAGCCATCCCTCCTTTTAGCATTAACATCACAGTGTTTATCAATCACAAGATGACGTACAATGTCTACATTCCCTGATTCACATGCTAAATGGAGTGGTCTACTTTGAAGATCACTTTCAGCTTCTATATTGCATTCAGTGGAACTGGTAAGAAATTGAACAGTTTCAAAATTACGATTTAAACATGCCACGTGTAATGGAGTTAAGCCATCCCTCCCTTTAGCATTAATATCACAATGTTTATCAATCACAAGATGACGTACAATGTCTACATTTCCTGATCCACATGCTAAATGGAGTGGTCTATCTTGATCATTATCTTCAGCTTCTATATTACATTCAGTAGAACTGGTAAGAAATTGAACAGTTTCAAAATTACGATTTAAACATGCCACGTGTAATGGAGTTAAGCCATCCCTCCCTTTAGCATTAATATCACAGTGTTTATCAATCACAAGATGACGTACAATGTCTACATTTCCAGATGCACATGCTAAATGGAGTGGTCTATCTTGATCATTATTTTCAGCTTCTATATTGCATTCAGTAGAACTGGTAAGAAATTGAACAGTTTCAAAATTACGATTTAAGCATGCCAAATGTAATGGAGTTAAGCCATCCTTCCGCTTAGCATTAACATCACAGTGTTTATCAATCACAAGATGACGTACAATGTCTACATTCCCTGACTGACATGCTAAATGGAGTGGTCTACTTTGAAGATCACTTTCAGCTTCTATATTGCATTCAGTAGAACTGGTAAGAAATTGAACAGTTTCAATATTATTCTTAAAACATGCTAAATGTAATGGAGTTAAGCCATCCCTCCCTTTAGCATTAATATCACAGTGTTTATCAATCACAAGATGACGTACAATGTCTACATTTCCTGATCCACATGCTAAATGGAGTGGTCTATTTTGATTATTATTTTCAGCTTCTATATTGCATTCAGTAGAACTGGTAAGAAATTGAACAGTTTCAAAATTACGATTTAAACATGCCAAATGTAATGGAGTTAAGCCATTTCTCCCTTTGGCATTAACATCACAGTGTTTATCAATCACAAGATGACGTACAATGTCTACATTTCCTGATCCACATGCTAAATGGAGTGGTCTATTTTGATCATTATCTTCAGCTTCTATATTGCATTCAGTAGAACTGATAAGAAATTGAACAGTTTCAATATTATTCTTAAAACATGCCAAATGTAATGGAGTTAAGCCATTTCTCCCTTTGGCATTAACATCACAGTGTTTATCAATCACAAGATGACGTACAATGTCTACATTTCCTGATCCACATGCTAAATGGAGTGGTCTATTTTGATCATTATTTTCAGCTTCTATATTGCATTCAGTAGAACTGGTAAGAAATTGAACAGTTTCAAAATTACGATTTAAACATGCCAAATGTAATGGAGTTAAGCCATTTCTCCCTTTGGCATTAACATCACAGTGTTTATCAATCACAAGATGACGTACAATGTCTACATTTCCTGATCCACATGCTAAATGGAGTGGTCTATTTTGATCATTATTTTCAGCTTCTATATTGCATTCAGTAGAACTGGTAAGAAATTGAACAGTTTCAATATTATTCTTAAAACATGCTAAATGTAATGGAGTTAAGCCATCCCTCCTTTTAGCATTAACATCACAGTGTTTATCAATCACAAGATGACGTACAATGTCTACATTCCCTGATTCACATGCTAAATGGAGTGGTCTACTTTGAAGATCACTTTCAGCTTCTATATTGCATTCAGTGGAACTGGTAAGAAATTGAACAGTTTCAAAATTACGATTTAAACATGCCACGTGTAATGGAGTTAAGCCATCCCTCCCTTTAGCATTAACATCACAGTGTTTATCAATCACAAGATGACGTACAATGTCTACATTTCCTGATCCACATGCTAAATGGAGTGGTCTATCTTGATCATTATCTTCAGCTTCTATATTACATTCAGTAGAACTGGTAAGAAATTGAACAGTTTCAAAATTACGATTTAAACATGCCACGTGTAATGGAGTTAAGCCATCCCTCCCTTTAGCATTAATATCACAGTGTTTATCAATCACAAGATGACGTACAATGTCTACATTTCCAGATGCACATGCTAAATGGAGTGGTCTATCTTGATCATCATTATTTTCAGCTTCTATATTGCATTCAGTAGAACTGGTAAGAAATTGAACAGTTTCAATATTATTCTTAAAACATGCTAAATGTAATGGAGTTAAGCCACCCCTCCTTTTAGCATTAACATTACAGTGTTTATCAATCACAAGATGACGTACAATGTCTACATTTCCAGATTCACATGCTTTGTGTAGTGGTCTGTCATTAAAACTGCCTTCGACTTCAAGATTACATTGTGAATGATTAGTCAGAATTTTAACAATTTCAAAGTGACCACTTTCACATGCATAATGTAATGGTGTATACCCATTCCTCCCTTTAGCATTAACATCACAGTGTTTATCAATCACAAGATGGCGTACAATGTCTACATTTCCTGATTCGCATGCTTTGTGTAGTGGTCTGTCATTAAAATAACTGTCTTCAGCTTCAGTATTACACTGTGACTGATTAGTCAGAATTTTAACAACTTCAAACTGACCATTTTCACAAGCACAATGTAATGGAGTAATACTCCTTTTTAGATCAATAAATGACAGGACTGGACGAACTCTAGACCTAACATTAACGTCGCAGTGTTTATCAATCACTAGATGACGTACAATGTCTACATTTCCAGATTGACATGCATCAATTAATGATCTCCTATCTTCATAATGATTATTTAATAGTTCCATTATATCTGGTCCTGCTAGTTGCTTTGCTGATTCCATACATTTAGATAAACCATCCTCACTCACTTTCTTTTCTAATATTGAAACTATTTCCTTGTGTCCTTGACATGCTGCATAATGAAGTGGTTGGTTTCCTTCATTGTCTTTAGCTTCAATGTCACACTGTGGTTTAGATATCAAATATTCTACTATTGACAGTGATCCACTATAGCATGCTTTATGTAATGGAGTGGACCCAGTC